TAATTATTTTCTGCAATATTTACATTTCTATGTAATTTGTCCAGGAGATTTTGTTTAACTTCGAAGTAATAATGGTCTGTAGTAATCCTGTGTGCAGTTGAATAATATAAAGCTGCGCATAGAAAGAAAGAATACACTAAGATAAAAGCTAATTGCAAATTGTGGTTAATTGACCTAAGTTGTATTACCGAAGACTATGTATATTGGTGACATAAAACGTTTTTATACAGTTTCCGCAACACTGGTAATGAATAAGCAAAGTTGTGCTGGTCTACAGGATTCAAAATTAACACAAATGGTAATGCATAGATGCTTCTTGAATATGAGATATTATCACTATTATTATTCGGTAACCTTTCATGAACCATGTAAAATTACTGTCATGCTTTTAATGTTAATGAAACCTATTTCCCGTTTACTTTTCTACTACATTTCTAAATATTATGCTAAGAATGTAGTAAGTTTTATGCCCCTTTAACATCCTACCACATTTTGAAACACATAGTTATGTAACAAGATGGCACTGTGACACCTTTTGATTCGGACGCTTTAACTGTCAAATGTTAGACAGCTTTTTGAGTGATTATTTGACATTTCAATAAAAAAAATTGTCACTTTTATTAATAATTTTCTCCCCTCTGTTAAAAGAAGGTAACATCCTTTAGAATATAAGCTATTTGTTGTTAAAATTACAAACAAGATGTTGAGTTGTTGGTAATCTGTGAGAATTACACTAGTTAGAGTGCTCATTTCTTCTCTTATTCCGCATTGTTTGTAGGTAAGAAGCAACTGGATAATTGTAACCTTCATTCCTTGCTTTTGACTTGAATCTTGCTGTTATAATCCTGAAGGAAATCGGTTCCCACTGCATTCGGGCTGACCGCTGTTGGTTACATCATGATAGCCACTCTCTCAGTATTTGTTTGTGGCTGCTGTTGCTCAACAAATACACAAAAGAATGATGGTGTATGGCGCACACGTTGAAGAGGCCGTCAGATGACATCGTGTGCCATGCTATCACTCGAGTGGGTCTTCTTAGGGTGACATGGAGGAGATCGTGCGAGGAGGAGATAAGAGATTATGGGTAATCGTGGACCCAGCTGAAGAGGGGAGTAGTGAAGATGTTTTGCTGATGTTCCACTCGGAACCCAAGGGAATAATGATAATAATAGTGCTCAACTGTAAGCTATAAAACACTTTTGTTCTCTTCATACGGAAGTTGTTATGATATTGATTTCTAGTTTGACAGTAACACTTTACCAAGCATAATTTAACCATAGGATCATTTGAGCTGCAAAATACATTCATTTATAACGTTTACATACATTTCTTTGTCCTTCAGAATTGTGCTTATCTGGCTGATTTTTAATCACTAGGTAACGTTTACCAACCTACTTTGGCCTTAAAAAAACAAGATAAACTGTTAAACATAACAAATTACTAACGGTTTAATGTACTTTGTAACAAATAACTGAGTCTCACTATTCTCATCATAATTTATATATTACTTCATGACAGTTTAAGTAACCGCTAGCTTGTTTTTATAATTCTATAGTATTATTTTAAAATTTTTTATTCAAGTGTTGGTTTTCAGGGATTTGACTGGTTCCAGGATTTCACCGTGATGTGACATCGGTTAAAGAACCACTGAAACTATTGTGTTCTGTTGAAGAGTACCAAACGTAGAGGACGAAATACCTATTCAATACTTCCAGGTATTCCAGCAGTCTTCTACGCGATGTCAACTCAAGATGAAATCTTTGTGTTTTTGAATGGAACATAGGGTATCTGATGTAAGCTTTGTATTTCCTGTCACAGGAGTGCATCTTTTTTACATGGGGAAGTTGCTAGCTTCAGCGCAGAACCTTATCACTTTACCGGCGTTATTACCGGTTAAGAGAGTTAGGTTAAGGACTGTGTCAGCCGAGAATTGACCCTTGGACCACGCGCGTAGATGGAGAACTTTCTATCATTGATCCACTGGCAACAATAGTTGTCTAGTGAACCATTAATACACTTTGTCATTAATGTGTAAAGGATAACTAGATCATGTCTAAGAGAATAATCAGTCTATTCTAGAAGGTTTCTTTTCTTAGCATCATAATATATAAGAGGATGATGATGATGACGGTGCAGATGGTGGTATTTATCAGAAGTAGTTAGTTTAAAAGGTTAAAAGAGATAAACTGAATCATGATAACATTTTTGTTAGTAAAGGAACACAAATCTCTAGTCGTTTAATAAAAGTGATATTTCACTTATACAACAAAGTATTTATTAATAGTTTTAGTTACACTACAAAGTAATAATTAATTAATCATTTCACTTGCATTGATTAGTTCGCTTCCCACAAACCAAATGTGAAGTGAATCGTAGTGAAAAAAGGTAATCAGAGATTAAAGGTGATCCGACTTGAGAGACTATCAGAAGTGAACCTTCACACAATGTATGTATTGTGTGTTAAATGTATACTAAGCTGATGAAAAAAAAGTAATTAGTAATTGTTTAGTCAGATTTTAAATAAAAACTTCCACCATAATAAATATGGCATTTAACAAAAAAAAACAGAACACTCAGCTTTTCAGTATATTTTGGAACAAAAAATCAAGCTTTTATGCTCTCTAATTTCAAATGATATTGGAAGCAACTTGAATAAAATTCCGAATCTATGTCTGGTAATGTCAAACTATATTACTAATAGTTCTTCATCATCAAACCTAACAACACTAAGTGTATACAACAAAAAATCCTATCCTTTAATTCCTAGAGGAAAACAGGGCTTCCGCAGAACACCTCCATTGCGTTCGGTTCTCTGCCAACGTTTTCACTCGGCTTCACATCTGCCCACATGCTTCCTTATCTTTTTCACGTGACCTCCTCAATGTCACTCTAGCAATGATGACCAACTCGCCACTTCCTATTTGGTTTCCACTCGAGTGATGGCCTGGCATGCTACATCACTCACTTGATGGTATGTTTTCTTAGAGTATGGGCAGCAAATCCACCTCCATTTCTTCCTGCATATTCGTTGCGCAGATGGTTCCTGCTGGGTTTGTTCGCTCATTGTCAGAGACCGCTGATGCTGATCTTTTCTGGCTGGCCACCTGATCTTGAGTAGTGAGCGAAGACAGCTGTTGATGAAGGTCTGTAGAGTTTGTTTGAAGTGCCCTTCGTGACAAGGCGCCAAGTCTTTGATCCGTATAGCAGCACTGACTTCACATTGGAGTTAAAAATCCACATCACATGAGCCAATTACAAACTGTAAAATGTATTTTCAAGACAACATACTCAGTTTTTATTAACATTTGTATTGCCTGTCAGAGCATCTCAAACAAACTTCAAACCTTCATTAACAGCTGTCTCCGCTCAATACTCAAGACCAGATGGCGGGCCAGAAAAGATCAGAAACAGGGATCTCTGACAATGAGCAAACCAACCCAGCAGGAACCGATTGTGAAAGAAATAGGCAGGAAGAAATGGAGATGGATTGGCTGGCCATACGCTGAGGAAACCATCAAGTGACATCACTAGACAAGCCATTGCTCGAGTGGAACTTGAAAGGGAAGTGGCGAGTTGGTCGTCAGAGCGAGGATGACTTGGAGGAGGTCATGTGAGGAGGAGATGAAGGCATGTGGGAAGACTTGGAGCCAGGTGAAAACTCTAGCAGAAAACCGAACGCAATGAAGACGTGCAGCTGAAGCCCTATGTTCCTCTAGGAACTAAAGGATACAATAATAATTGCCTGTCAGATTAGATATTTTAGTCCGAATACTTGATATGATTATGAGCAACAAATTGTGCTCGAAACGTCATCAGTAAACATTACTGTATAACACTGTGAGACTTTGTCAAAACAAAAATTTACCCATAATGGAATTATACTCTACCACAGTGCACGAGTTTTATTCTTTTATCAACAAATACTTTTTCATTTTTCTAGAATAAAGATGTTTATATTTCACTTCAAAATAAGCAATATGCAACTGGTTTCACTCTGAAAAGTATAACTAAATGGATTCAGTTTCGTTTTCAGATGTTTGAATGATTATAAAAACAGGTTTTTGGTTAGTTTGTGAAGTCTGGAACAATATGATTGTACAGTTTTTTTTGTTAGATGTTATAAATGGGAACATTGTACACAACTTTTGTTTAAAACGATTCATTGTAAAAGATACATAACTTCTGAGTACAATCTAAAATACAGTGTGCTACTCGACGCTTCGTCTTCCTACTTGTCCATACTGTCTACTTGCTTCACTACTAACCATGTTGTATCCTTTGGATTTCGCAGGAACCTCTCATCCCCATCTGAAGACTATTCTACAACCAGTGCACAGCTCCGTCTAGTAAACACGACTCCATCAGTGAATGCTTCCGTGGATTATATTAATGATTTGTAGTGGCAGACTTTCACTGTATCACTAAGTAACCATTATTTATATAAATCGCTAACTGTATTCTTTATAACATACTGTTACACTATCATTTAATTAACTTGGATTTTTATTCTAATATTTGTTCTGTTACCGAGCTCACTATCAAGTCCCTAACAAGTTTTTGAAGACATAGTCTACTAATTTTGATGGGAAAGCACTCATTTAAAGTATAACCTACTAATTATTATTCTTTTGTTCACTCATCTGTGTATTAGAGTTACATATAAGCTGTATTTCTATTTTTAATTTATGTGGTTTTGAGTATTGGTTTGTAGAGATTTGATTTATCGATTACAAGATTTCATCATGAGCTGACATCGATTAGAGAACCATTGAAAACCAGCCACAGGGAGTACTGGACAGCTGTTTCGTCAGCCCAGTTTGGGAATCTCCATCATTATGCACCCACCACAGGGGTTTGAACCCAGGACCTTCCGGCTACAAGGCTAGCGAGCTCGTACACCATTAAGCCGCTGGGACCTGATTCATTGGCCAGCCCATGAGTTCTAACTACTACAAAATACTTGACAACTGCTTGGAGTTAACTCAGGTAATAATACTCACTCTTTTCATTTTTCCGTCTCAAGGGTTTTTTAGAATTAACAGTCTCATGATTTCCTTGTTTGGACTCCATTGATTCTTTGGAATTTTGAGGGACCGCCTGAGGAAAACCACCTTCAACAGCTCCAGAATTCATGAATGATGAAGACGGTTTAAACTGTGGATGCTGTCGTAAACTAGCTGGTTTTATCTGTTCTTCATACTGGGAATAATCTGCTGTCTTTGGAACAAAGCGTTTCGGTTCATTAGATGACCAGTCACTGTGAGCAATCTGTAAAACAGATTCAATATATAAACGAATATTAGTGAATGAATTATGAAAATACTTGAGTAAGTGCAATGTGTCAAGAAACTGTTGAGTAATTTATCATTTAAGTTCTGTAAGCTGACCACTAAAACCCTTTCTTTCCATCCCTAATCTCCTAATTAATCTCCCCATAAAAGTGGGTTGTATGTATGTAATTTTCTTAATTTTAACTTCTGGATTAACTTCACTCTATCAGTTTTACCTTTAGAAGTCTAATAATCATGACAAGCAAACATCTGTCAGAAGTCAAGGGTCACCCGATTTCAATCTAAGTGGCTGAAATGTCAACCAGCTGGCCTAATGACCCGAATGTTTTAGCTTCTATTCCTGGGGGTGGGTGGGGAATGAGGGTGCACACTGCTGAAAAGTTCCAAAGTAGGATGGAACAGCTGTCCAGTACTCTACAGTTTTCATTGATTCACTTACAGATGCTGATATGTGATGGCATCTGCACTGAAATTAGTCCAAATCCCTACATAACTCACAATCTATATATACTTAAGTGATTCATAATAACAACATTTCATATACTAATAGTTAATGTCTGAAAAAATGTACGCTGTTTTTCCATGCTAAATGATTCTGTCTATTCTCTGAATTTCAGAAAATGAAGAGTAATGCATCATTTCATGAAACTGATTTGCATAGTGTCCTTTTCCATATTTTTACCGGATGAGTCATATGCAAGCATAAAGTACAGTGTAATTATTTACAGGATATATATATTCAGAATTCATTATCATCGCATGTGAACTGACTTACTTTCACTTTTTCTGCATTACACCATGCATCTCGACAACAATGTGTCATTAAATAAGGTGAATTAAATTGTTTCTTTGGTTGAATATCTTTTTTTGTACACATTGTTAAAAAACTATTCGATACACAACCACGACTAATAGAGGTGCCAGTAATTTCTGTTGATCGATTTGTCAACTGATCACTTGTATCTGACGTCCAACTCAATTCATAAATACTGTAACAATAAAACTCAGCTTTGCATTCATTATATCCAAAAGCACGACAATCGTCTGTATCACAGTGACAAAGTATATAACCTATTCAGTGAAAAATGATTGAATTAAAAAAGAGAAGATAAGGATGGCATTTAACTTTAATTCATTTAAAAGGTATGATGCATGACGTTTAAAATACAATATTAGGTATGCTGTTCACCGAAAAGCCTAGTTAGTCAAGACATATTAGGTATTACTAGGAAATAAAGAGACACTGTATGTTAGATTTAAAACTGTAATCGTAGTAAAGTGAATACAAAGCACTTACAGTAAACAAATCAATTTCGGAGTATCAGACACTGTTATATTTCATTAAACAGTGCTACCGCTAGCGCATATTTCAAACCCATCAATGCGGTGGCTATGTGATGTAATACTAGAGGGCTGGAGTTGGTGTTGCAATATCTACGCAACAACACATCTAAAAGAACGGGAGAAATTATGCTAACGAACATATCCGATCGATATCCATGTGCAACTATCGAAGTGTAGAAAGAAGTTACAAGGAACTCATTTGAGATAAGGATTTCTTACTAAACATCACATATATTGATTTGGCTTAAAAAATCAAATGAGAGGACTTAATGGAACACAATAAATTATCATTCTTTTAGCTTTCAAACAGAATCTTTCGCTATATGTTACTGTTGCATTGAAAACCAGATCCACTGAGCTTTGTATCTATGGACAGTAAGTGCGTAGCTAATTTACAGGCAGATCACAATATGTGGTCTGCTTGATATCATAAACGGCATTCAAGAAAGCACGCATAAATGCATAGTGGTATATACTATTAAATGGATGAGATGAGTAGTTTGCTGCAACTTAGATCAACCAGTAATGCTTGCTAGCCGTATCGAAGTGATCTAAACACTGGACGAAATTTTTCGTCGTTTGGGGCTAATTTGATCTGCAAAGTACTCCGTCTCGACTCAGTTTAGAGAACTGAATCGGTTCAAACCACCTGAATCTTGGATAGCTACTTAGGCGAAGTGACAATACATGAAATCAAATTCTCGATCTGCAAATTACACAGATAGAAATCAGATTCCACCATCAACAGCTATCTTCACTCAATAATTCGATCAAGATCAGATGGCCGGTCAGAAAAGATCAGCAACATGGATCTCTGGGAGTGAACCAACCTGCAACAAATACTCTGGGAGAAATGGAGGTGAACTGACCATACTCTCAAAAAACAAACCACCACAACAGGCCGTGGCTCTAATGGAACCCGAATGGGAAGTGGTGAGTCGGTCGTCAATGAGAGGGTGACATGAAGGAGGTCACGTGAAGAGGAGATGAAAGCATGTGGGCAGACGTGGAGCCAGGTGAAAATGTTGACAGAGATTGGAACGTAATGGAGGTATGCTACTGAAGTCCAATTTTCCTCTAGGAATTAAAGAAAACAATAATAATACGTACTACTGGCCTATGTGAGTAGTCGCCAACTACTCATATAATTTAGTCAGTAGATTATGCCACAAAACTTTGTGAAATTCAGGTTAATAATACCATCGGCAGGTTTCAAGGTCTATTTCAATTATAACTTCTACATATGGTTTGTCTTCGGGCATATTTAATATTCTTTCGCTACTCACCAATCCTGGTGTACATTTACTGCATTATTCTCAAGCTGACTCCGCTGGAGTTTGTTTCTTTGTACATCTTATTCGTGTACACATGCAGTGTAATATCAATTCCTTTGACTGTTATGAACATATGAAATGTCCACCATAGTATATATATAAATACTACATATATATATGAACATAGCCAACAATGAAAAGTTTGTTTCATGTTGACCTTATATATTATGCAGAGTGCTTACCAAACCTCTACGCTACCATAATCATTGCTATGTCTCAAAAATAAAGCTTTCATCAGTTTAACCATCATACAATGGTTTGACCTTCAAATTATGCCCCAAACTTCGGATTAATACACTTAGACGTCGCTTTTTCCATCAAAAAACCAGAAAGTAGAATGAAGCCTTCTGTGAAATTCAAATTTCAGTATTATTATAATATTCGTCCCCAGGATTTTAAATGGAACATGTGGCTTCAAAGTCACATCTCCGCTGAATCTTTCTCCCTGTAAGCCTTTTTTCTAGCTGACTGCACGGCTGTCTACAAGCTTCCATTCTCTTTGAATAAGACTTTTCACTAAGTCACCTTTGCACACTTAACTCACCGCTTCCTATTCGGATTCTAATCAAGAGCCTGGTGAGTTTCAACAATGACAATGAACCCTTTAGGGATGTTAAACTGTTGTTACGCTTTTCTTAAGTATACTTTTTTTCGAAATAATTCAAAACAAGGTTGTAGACGTCACTATTTACAATAGTTAACATGGTAAAATTTATTTTTTCCATATTTCCCCAAAATGACTCGCATCAATTTCTCTGAAGCCAAATGAAAGTTTTTCCTCAACTGACATCATGTCATTTTTGGAGAATTTTCAGATTACCTTAGAAAATATATTGACTTTACTATCTTATTATGTTGTTTACACGAAATGTTTTAAGTTATCTCATAATTTCGCGTGACATATCTGACATATACACCTAGATAATTCAACTGTGGTCTTATAATGACTATGATGACAGATGCTTCATGGTACATTGTTTATTTAAAGTGTTAGAAAATTCCAGCGATAAATGAGCTGCATTATCAAGGTTAAAAGTATACAAAGGAAAGACTATATACTATTCAATGTAAACAGCCTTAGCAATTAGGTTTTTTGAGCACTTTCGTCTCATATTTAGCAGTCAGCTTATAAAATCTGTTGGATTCATTTATGAAACAGACTTTATAATGGTACAGTTTTCTCATGATGACAACCATTTTAGTTTTGTCTTAATTTGAAAAGAAAGGCTAAAGAGTGGTATAAAGCGATACAAATACCAGAAAATAGTGTTTCTCAAATGGTTGATGGAATAATACAAGTGCAGTCTCTCTCAATCTCTTTGTACATATATATATATATATATATATATATATATATGCAATGAAAGGCGATCTCGTCCAGGATAATGACCGCCAGATTCAACTCCAAAGGAAGGAAAGTGTCAATCATACAATGTTATGCACCCACAAACAACGCAGACCTCGAAAAGAAAGAAGAATTTTACAGGCAACTACAGGCAACAATGGACAATACTCCAGCTGGCGACATGAAAATACTAATGGGAGACATAAACGCCAAACTGGGACCAGACAACACAGGAAGGGAACTCATCATGGGTAGAGAAGCTCTAGGAGAAATGAATGAAAACGCAGAACTCTTCGCCGACTTCTGCGCCTTCAACGAACTAGTGATTGGTGGCAGTGTATACAAGCACAAAGATATCCCCAAGACTACATGGGTGTCTGTTATGTACTCGCCGCCGAATTATTATTATGTACTGGTCGAGAATTTAATAGTCCTGACGCAAGAAAGACGGAAATCAGAAGACCACTAGGTTTGCGATGATACTTCTATTTTCCAAACACAAGGAGAATCAAATATATCACACAATAGTGTGAGAGCGGAATATATATGAATGTCCAAACAAGTGTGTGAACAATCAATAGACAGTCTTAACATGATTGGCTAATTATAATGGAGTATCGATCCATATATACATAGCAAAATATAGCAGACATGTCAACAACCACACATAATATGGATATATGTTACCAAGCAACGGACTGTCAACAAACACACATATTATATATAATATAAGAGGAATATACATTGTTAAAGGAGACAGGTTCATCAAAGTGAAATGGTCACAGACTAAGAGAGCAACAGAAAGAGAGACCACCATACATACATATATATATATATGTATATATGGATACATATCAGTGTCACCAGGTGGGAGAACCAAAAACCAAAGTGACTTCATCTCAATCTCAAGGAAGTGGAGGCGCAGCCTACTGGACACAAAAGCAAGAAGAGGAGCAGACGTAGCTCAGACCACTATCTCGTACAAGGGACAATCCAAATAAGATTAAAAGCTTACAGGGAAACAGGAGCTGCGAATAGACCACAAGCCAAGTTCAACACTCAAAAACTGAAGGACCAGGCTACAAAGGACATCTTCATTGCAAGCATAAAGGACAAAGTCGGGACACAAATCAACACCAGCCAAAGGTCAGCGTCGAAAAGCACTGGGACAACTTGAAAACGGTGTGGAGTCAAACCTGCATGGAAGTTCTAGGCAGAAAGAAGAGACAGGACAAACAATGGCTCACTACGGACACTTGGAAACTAATAGAAGAGAGAAGGACAGTGAAACAAAAGATTATCCAGTGCACCGACGAGCAACAAAAACAGGAGCTGAATACAAGCTACAATACACTGAACAAAAGAGTAAAGAAGAGTGCCAGGGAAGACAAATGAAAATATTATGAAACCATGGCAAGTGAAGCAGAACAAGCTGCAGGCAAAGTAGACCTCGCCACACTCTACCAAACAACTAGACACCTATCGGGCAAAAGTTCGACACAGATTAAGCCAATAAAGGACGACAATGGAAAGTCAATCACCAAAGAGGTGGAACAGAGAAAACATTGGGCTGAACACTTCAAAAGACTTCTAAATCGACCGCCACCTATAATGCACCCAACAATACCAACAACGGAAGCAGAACGACCAGTGAACATCGACCCTCCGACGAAATCAGAAGTTCTGAATGCAATCAAGATGCTAAAAGCTGGGAAAGCAGCAGGACCAGATGGAATCCCACCCAGCAGAAGCATTGAAAATGGACCCAGAGACAACAGCGGACTTGATGACGCCACTGCTGGAGAAGGTGTGGAAGGAGGGCAAAGTACCCGAGGATTGGAAGAACGGATACTTATTCAAACTACCAAAGAAAGGAGACTTAAGTCAATGTAAAAACTGGCACGGAATTATGCTCCTGTCCTTTCCAAGCAAAATATAAAGCCGAATCATCCTGGAGAGAATCAAACAAACCCTAGATGAAAAACTTCGATCGGAACAGGCCGGATTCAGGAGAAACAAATTATGTATTGATCAAATTGCCACTCTAC